TTCTAAAACACGTTAAGCTTATTACCAACTATGGGCTTCTGCACCCTCAGTGCCTTCAACCTGGAATTCTTTTCTCATGTTCCTGCAGTTGCCTCTCTAAGTCTCAGCTATTAAGTCACTGCCTCAGAGAGGCCTCCTTAAACCACTCATTCGTATTTCTGAATTACACCTTCTGCTTGTTCCAGAGCATTATATTTATGCAGCAGTAGTAGAAAGCATTAATTTTTAAAATATCCGTCTTTTTTTTTTTTTTTTTTTTTTTTGAGAGAGAGGGAGAGAGAGATAGAAACATTGACATGAGAAACATCAAGAGAGAAATGTCGAAGGGTTGCCTCCCACAGGGGCCTGGACTGGATATCAAACTCGAAAGCTGGGTATGTGCCCTGAACAGGAATGGAACCTGCCACGTTTTGGTGTACATAGGAAACATAATTATATAAATCAGATAGTTGTACCTGGCTTTCACCTATCTTGGTGTTGAAAATTTCCATTGTTTATAGCTTGTCCCAAGCACAAAATCCTGAGCAATGGAATACCAAGGAATGAAATAACATGGTAGTAGCTCTGTTTGCCATGGATTTATTTGAAGGTTCTTTTTTCCCCTCTCCTGCAATATCATTAAGTATCTCATCAAGTGTTTTAGTCCTCCTGGGTGTGGTCTGGTGAGTCAGTGCCCAAACCTTCGGTAAGATGGCATAGAAAAGGCAAAGAAAATAGCGTTTTTTGATGAATGTTGGCCCACCCCCTTCACTGTCTTATTCCTATAGCTTAAGTCAGTACCTTAAATTATTTTGTTGAGGCACTCGCCCGGTAGTTCAGTTGGTTAGAGCAGCAGCCTGATATGCCAACGTTTGGGGTTTGATCCCCGGTCAGGGCACACACAAGAATCAATCAATGAATGCATACATAAATAAGTGGAACAACAAATCAGTGTTTCTCTCTCAAATTATTTTGCCGATCTGTTTACGTTTTTATTGTCGCTCTCGTCCACAGAAGTGCAAGCAGCTCCCCCAAAGCAGGCTCTTTTCTGTACGATAAACTGCCCTTTCCTGCCCCTAGCAACATGCCCCTGGCACAAGAGGAGGTGCTCAGTGACTATTACTGGAAGAAGTGCTCGTTACAATACTCAATCCCACCTCGGTCACGCTGGGCCCTCACAGCGCACCCACCGCTGTGCCCAGAGGATGTGAGGCTGACTCCCTGGCGGCCTCAGAGGGGCCACGCGCGGGGGCCTCTGGGAAGTGTAGTCCACGCACTTGCCCGGACCCCGGGGTTCAGGGAGCGAGACTCCGCGTGCGCAGGCGCACTTCCGGCTCTGCCCCGCCGCTGTGGCCATTGTCCGGCCCCGGGGCGGCTAAGGCGGCTTTGGGCCGCAGCGCCGCACGTCAGAATTGGAGAGGACTGAGCCTGAAGCGTGGGGGCGAGAGGAGCCGGCCCAAACGTTGGGTGGGCCTGAGATCGCAAAAGCCGGAAACTCCAGGAAGCAGTAATTCCGAGTGCGGGGGTCGGAGCGGCACCTCCCACAGGTTTGGCTCGTGTCCCCGGGGCCGCGCCCACCGTCCTGCGGGAGGGACTGGGCGTGGCCAGAGAAGGGTGTCCTGGACGCGGTGAGCCTTTAACTTCGGGGAGCGGCAGGCCCACGCGGGGCCCAGGCACCTCTCCACCGCTTTCCCGGGAGAAGTGTCTGAGGGGTGGAGGGGGGCGGTTGCAGCGAGGTGAGTGGGCCCTTTCTTTTCTCCCCAGTTCCTGTCTGGGAACCCGGCCGGAGAGGCAGGAATGGCCCCGAGGCCTCCGACGGCCACGCCTCAGGTGAGCTGCGCGGACTTTTTTACCCCGGGGTGACCCGTTCCACGAGACCCCCGGGGCGTGTTTGGAGCAGTCATTGTTCTCCTTTGGAGACTCCGTTTCCTGGCTCCGTCGCCCCCTCGGAGTTTCCTAGCCTTGTGAGACCCAAGGTGTTCAGAGCTGGGGGGAGCGGGCTTCCCAAAAGGGGGGCTGTGCTGTGGGGAGGAGGGGACCAGGAGTTAAGAGTGGATGTGTTGGGAAGCGTCAATGCTGAGAATCCTGAGTGCCAGCCAATTCCTGAACTCTGGTCAATGAGGAACGGAGGTGGTGGGGTGACAGGATAGGAAACTGTGCAGGAGGAAGTGACTGTCAGTGAGTAAAGGAGAAAGGAGCCAAGCTTCTGACCCAGGAGCCATGCACAGACCTTAAGAGTCCTAAGAAGCCTGGACTGGATTTGTTGAGGAAGGGGCTGGAGATGGGCTTTCTTGGGCAATGGGGATTGGGGTGGGGGGGTGAGGACAAGGAGGACTTGTCCCGTAGCTCTTCATGTCTTTTTCTGCTTTAACAAAGGTATGATAGTGCTCATTCCCGGATGTCCAGCCTTCAGTGTAATTAATATGAAGCTGATTTGTGAACCCATTTATTCTTGTGAGGGAGAAGGCATTTTTTAGAGCATCACAACTCTGAGATTGCCCACTGATTTACATAGAGTGTATCGGTGAAAATATAACAAGGTCCAGATAGTATTTTAATCCACACTCTCTTTAGAATTAAGGAAAAATCAGATTCTAATAGCTATGTTTGTGAGACAAGATCAATCCAGATAAAAATACCAACTAGTGATGTCCTTTAAAAGCAATTTACAGTAAATTAAACACATCATATGAAATGATATAGAATGCCTTTATATGTTTTATTTCCTCTTATGTTTTTGTTTTACAGGGGTGAACCTTAAGTAGTAAGACAAGTAACAATACTAGAATGAGACATTTATTTGGTTTGAGGCAAGCCAGAGCAAATCACTGTCATGAGCACCTTCAATACAAAGTATTGCTTCACTAGGCTGTGAGAATTAGGATGACTTAACACCTCATGGGGGTGATGATCCTTTCCAAAGAGGTGGGTTGCCTTTTTAATGGTGAAAGTGGAATTGTGCTCTGAGCAGTGAGTTTTAGGAACTGCTTTAAGCTTCACTTTTAATTATGTTCCCCAAGCACTCTGATTCAGTTATGCTATTCTCATGGTAGTCCACTTGGGTTACCGAACTTGGACTGAAGGACAGAATAGAACAGTGAACCTACAACAGAGGCTTTTTAGGCAGAAATTTCCCTTCCTCAGTGGTTCCCTTTCCCTGAGCATGACCCTTGGGAATGCAGAAGATGAGTAATTGAGCCATGTGACAATTTACCCAGAAAGTTAATTGGTGGGGGAAGATGGCTTCATGCAGAAGTAGAGCACAAGAAAGGCAGTATCAAGTGTTGTTGCAGAGGTCCAGAGGCTCCTGCTTTGAGTACAGAGAGGGAAGAGGAAATTCTGCCTGTGGGAAGTCAGTGGAGATGCCTTTGAGTAGGAGCAGAGTCTAAGCAAGTAAATTTGAAAGGGGATGAGGGTAGAGCTAATTGGCTGTGGGTCAGGGCAGTTGGGAGGCAAGAAGATGAGGGACATTTTCATGAAACCATTGTCCCGTGTGACAGTGGGTGTTGCTTGTAGGCAGTAGGTAGGTGAAAATAAAAAGGAGTTTGGACTTACTGCTTTTGGCCTTGGTAACCCATTTATTCCTTTATGTGTTCATTCAGCAGATAGTCACTGGACTCCTATGATGTATTAAGACACTTTTTTAGGTGGCTGAGATGTATTAGTAAACACAATTTATAAAGTCCTCTGCTTTTGTGGAGCTTACATCCTAAAAGGAGTAGACAGAAAAATGATGTGATATCCTAGAAGATGACAGTACCTCAAAAAAATAATTGAAAGTAGAGAAAGGTAAGGAGGATTGAGTGGGGCATGTGGGGGCTTGTGGTAGGAGTGCAATTTTAAATATGATGGCCAGGGTAAGCCTGATGCTTATTGGTGACATCTGAGCAGACCCGAAGGAGGTCTGGGAAAGAGTTCTCTGGAAATAGCAGGATGTGTGTCTGGTGTGTTCAGGGAGCAGAAAGGAGCCTAGTGTATCTTGAGCCAATGTTTTTGAGCAGAGAATTAGTATAGTTTCTTCTTAGTTTTAAAGATTGTTGTGAATAATGAAGTGTAGGAGCAAGAGTTTGAAAGTCACCTCCTTTAGAGAGGTGTTTGGATGGGTGTGACCTCCCCATGGGTGTGACCTCCCCTTGGCTAACAAATACCTGAAGTGGTCCACAGTGGGAGGGGAATGAGAGCAGAAATGGGTGAGGGGGTACCCTGGAAATCCTTAGAATGTGTAGGATCGTTAGTAGCTATATCTGTGTAAACACTATGTACTTTTCTTCCTTATATGTGTACTACATGTTTAGTTAGGAATAAAAAATGGTGTTTACACCTGGCTGGCATGGCTCAGAGGTTGAGCATCGACCTATGATCCTGGAGATCGAGGTTCTATTCCCAGCCAGGGCTAAATCCCCAGCAAGGGTCATACAGGAGGCAACCAATCAATGACTCTCGTCATTGATGTTTCTCTCTCTCTCTCTCTCTTCCCCCCCCTTCTCCCTTCCCCTCTCTGAAATAAATAAAGATATATTAAAAAAAGAAAAAGTGTTTACCATGCTTAAAGTTGAACCCACCAGAACAGTAAGAAATTGGGAAAGTTTTATAAGAAAAAAACTGCATGTGGAAACCAGATTTTGAGGGACTGGGCCTGGTCTCTTTTGATTCCATATCCCAAGAACTCTGTGGTTAGATCATCAGGATGAACAGACTCAGCAAAAGCTGGCTCTTGTCACCCAAAGTCAGATAACATGCTCCTGGGCCACCAAGGGAAGCCAAGCCACTTAACTAGGTCAGGATATTTGCAGTCAGGGATGTTCGCGCACTCTGTCCGGAAGTCCCTTTTCTCAGCCTCTTTCTCAGCTGATTGGAGTTGGTTTTTAAGCCTCATCTTAGACACTCTTTGCCCTGGGTAAGGTCACATGCCCCTCCTTTTGCATTCTCATAGCACCTGTGCACACCTGTCATAGTACTGTTCTTATGTCATATGGACTGGTGTGTCTACCCATCTATCTCTATACTGAACTTTCAGTTCCTCAAGGGCAGGGCCATGTAACTCCTTTCATACCTTGCTCCAAAATACACACGTGGTAAGTGGGTTTCACACGAGCAAACATTTATGACCACTGAGCCCCAAGCAACAATTTTGCACTTTCTGCATTTTCTGCTCCTTACGTGGCAAAAATGTTATTTTTCCATTTATAATGACCCTAATTTTTTGGTAAATAATTGCATGAAACAACAGAACAGTTTTAAGAAATTTTGTCTTTAAGATATCAAAACCTGTTCTTCTAAGACCTGTTTCAAAACTATGATTCTTTTCCTGACTTCTCAGTCTTATACTACTTTTATTTTATTAAAATATATCTTATTAAAGTATGTGAGCATATATATAATACAGACTTTTTAATAGGAAAAAAGTCATTTATGTTACCTCTTCTTTAGCACCCATATTTGTTTTGGTGGATTTCCTTGTTTTCTACCTCTGCATATTTTTCCCTTAAACATTTTCTATTACAATATTTTAAATTTCATATAGTTTTTATGAGACTTTCTTGTTCTAATCACTTTTAATGGCTGTATTATATTGCTTTGCATGAACATACCAAAATTTGTTTAACCATTTCTCATAAGACATTTAGATTGTTTCTAAAATTTTTACTATTGTACATAATACTCAGATAAAATCCCATTGGTTACAGTAGATAATTTTTTGAAAATACAGTTTTTAAAAATTCTTACACCTGCATTCTTAAGTAAATAGCTCTCAGAGAAAGAGAGATCTTTGACAACTTTTGGTGTTATGCTTATCCTTAATTTATAGACCTTTGGATTGTTTTTCATCTTTTTCTTTTTTTTGAAACAATTTACCCATGAAATATTTAGATCCAGGATTTTTATAGAGAGTATGATTTGGGAACAATTTTCTCTTATTTCCTCATTTATTAAGGTTTCTACTTTTTTGTGTCAACATTGGTAATTTGGAATTAAAAATTATTCACTTTATTAAGATTTTTCACATTTTTTAACATACTACTGTGTGTTTTACTAGTTTGCTTATCCCCTTATTTTTAAATTTGTTTCTTTTTTTTTCTTTTTTTTCCTGGATTTGTCAGAAGTTTCTGTTTGGCTGGTGTTTAAGAGGGACCTGCTGTTAGATTTGGCTATTAATTTCATCTTCTTCTGTGTGCCACTTCTTTTTATTATCCAGAATTTAATTCACTAATCTTTTGCTTTAAATATGTTTTTATTGATTTCAGAGAGAGGAAGGGAGAGGGAGAGAGAGCTAGAAACATCAACAATGAGAGAGTCACTGATCGGCTGCTTCCTGCACGCCCCCACCTGGGGATCGAACATGAAACCTGTGCATGTGCCCTGACCGGGAATCGAACTGTAGATCATAGGTCAGTGCTCAACCACTGAGCCACACCGGCTGGACTTTTTTCTTTTTTTTTAATCTTCAGAATGACTCCCTGTTTTCCTGTAGTATGAATTATCCAGACACTTCCTCACTCAGACTCTTCCTCTGTGCCAGGCAGTGGTTCTCAACCAGGGTCACGTTTCAGAACCAGTCAGGGAAAGGTACCTGTTCCACTTGGGGTGACAGTAAGGCTTCAGTGAGATTTAGTGAGAGGGTGCACATATATGACTGAGCTCAGTAGCTGGCCTGTGGTGAGTGTTTAATATATGTTAACTGTTGTTCCTTTGTAATGAATCCCCTGAGGAGCTTTTAAAAGTTGTGTGAAGTACTACCAGCTCTTTTTGAATTTGTCTAGTAGGTCTTAACAGTTCTCAATGAAAGACTCCCCCGTCCCCCAAAAAATTGCTTGGCAGGGCCCTCCATGCATGGACAAGTTTATTTATTTATTCATTTTTTATATCTTTATTGATTTCAGAGAGAGGAAGGGAGAGGGAGAGAGAGAGATAGAAACATCAATGATGAGAGAGTCACTGATTGTCTGCCTCCTGCATGCCTCCTACTTGGGGTTGAGCCCGCAACCTGGGCACGTGCATATGGTAAAGTCAGACATCTAGTAAATACCTGGTGTCACCTTACCAGATCCCTGACCTTGGTCAGAAAAATCTACCTCATTTCAACCCTTCCTTGTTCCTGTGGGGACACAGCCACAGGGATATGATACAGAGGAGCCAGTGTTGTGTATGAATGCAGTCATGCACCTCACGCAGCAGCTGGGGTCACTCCTGTTTCTCTAAAATCTCAGATCTCAGCCATCTCTTTAAGGCTCAGCTCAGTCAGGAAACAGATGTGTAGTGTGGGTCAGGCACTTGCTGGACACTAGTGTTTTGGAGTTTAAAACAAACGTATAGTTGCTCTCATAATGCTCACCATCTAACTAGAAAAGCAAGCATTAAATGGATTATTAGGTCTATTCAAATAATTGGGGGTATGCTAAGTGGCTTAAAGCATGTAATAAAGGGATTGATCCTCCAGTGGGGGGATCAGAAGGCTTCAGTGAAAATCTGCTAACCACCGCCTGAAGCATGAAATAGAATTAGCAAGGGAAGGACTGCTGGGAGGGTGGGTAGAGAATGATACTTCCCAGAAATGGAAAGAAGTCCGGTTCAGCTGTACCAAGCACATGGGGAGAAAGAAGGGTACGGACTAAGACAGAAACCTCCAAGCAACCTTTCCTCACTGCTCCAGCAAACTAACTCATGGCTCTGCTTTCAACATCTTTTTGTACTAATTGATTTTATCATAGTTTATTGTGTCCTGCTTAAGATAGAAATCTAACCAGGACCAAAGGAGAAATTTCAAATAGGGCATGGTGACAGGTGTCTCATGGCTCAACAAGGCTTAGCAAGACAAGCCAAAAATCAACCCACAAGCATCAGAACTGACAATTGAGAGGCATGGAGGACCTCAGCCAGCCTAGTTTCAGTGGGGTGGTGAGGAAAAAGTGATTGGAATGGGATAAAAAGCATGAAAAGATCTTTGACCTAGCAATTTCTATTCTAGCTAGCTAGCCTTGAGAAATCCTAGCATAATTGCACAAACAATATTTAATGTAGTAATGTTTGCAATAGCAAAATATTGGAAATAACCCAAGTGTCTAATAATAGCACCTGGTCCATTTATTCATTCTCTGGGCATTTGTAAGCATCCACTGTGTGCTGGGTATCAGTCTAGGTATATAACCTGATGAAGACAGATAAAGTTCTCATGGAGCTCACAGTGGGGGAGACAAACAGTCTAACAAGGAAGCAATCTCAGGTAATGGTTAGAAGTACAAGTGTCCTTTTTATCTGAATCTATTTGGTTCCTGAGTTCAGGTGGCAGGAAGTTGGACAGTGAGAGAGAACTGTGTCAGGAGGAAAATTAAACATGGTAATATGATAGAGAGTAAATTAGAGGAAGATGCTGAGACCTTTTCTGAGGAAGTGATGCTGGAGATAAGACGTAAGTAACCAGTAATAACTAGTTGTCAATCATGTAGAGATCCTAGGTGGGGAGAGAGTAACAAGCATAAAGGTCCAGGGTGGGAACAAGCTTGGTGTGTTCAGGGATCAACAAGGGCAGCATGGCTAGCCCAGTGAGTGATGGAGAGTTTGAATTTTATTCTTAGTGCAGTGGGTGCTGTCGGTTTTAGGTAATGAGAATATTATGATACTATGGAGTGCTGTGAAGTAATTCAAAGGAATAAGCTATGGGAGAGCTCCCAGATACATAGTTAAGTGTAAAAATAAGTTGTAGAACAGTATTCACGGTATTTCACAAAACAGGACAGTGTGTGTGTGTGTGTGTGTGTGTGTGTGTGTGTGTGTGTGTGTGTGTGTTTAAGAAACATGGAAAAAGGGGACTCTTAAGTGTATGCACCAAACTGTTAACAGTGGTTATTTCTAGGGTTTAAGTTAGGATTGGTGATGGGGTGAAAGAGGCCTGCCACCTCCACTTTTTACTTCCCACCATATTTGGATTTTGTAACAAAGGAAGTGCACAGGCAGGGAGGAATTGGTGATTATATAAAAAGAAGGGAAATAAGACAAAAGCTAAGGATTGCAGAACATATTGCTTCTCATGACTTTCTGCCCTGAATATTAGATTCTTTATACAATTATGTAAACAACTAGTATAGTTAACCTAACATTGCCCCTTCAGGATGTTAAATGTGTGATCATCATTTCTAATAGACCCTACAGTCTGTTTCCAGTATTGCCATGGGAATGTTTGTGGGGTTGATCCTACTTGAGCAGGAATGTGATCCTACAGGAATCAGTGACATTCAAGGATGTAGCTGTGGACTTCACCCAGGAAGAATGGCACCACGTGGCCCCTGCTCAGAGGCGCTTGTACAGGGATGTGATGCTGGAGAACTACAGCAACCTGGTTTCTCTTGGTAAGGACCACATCTCAATGTCTTGCCTACTGGTGGGTCTTTCATTTCTCAGTTGCTAAGGTTGTGGGACTCTCTGACTGTAGCTTGAATGACTATGAGCAGGGTGTGGGTGTTCAGAGTCAGAGCTTGTTCATCATTTTGGGACCCAGTCTTATGGGTTTCTGAGCCTGCTCTTTAGAAAAGGTATTTCTTTTGCAGAACTGGAAATAAGCCATTTGATTGCATGACTCCTTAAGTTGCACCTTTTCCTTCAGAGTTCTTGAGGATCAAGGGCTAGTACTGACTTGTAGGAGGGTTCTTTGTCTACTTGCTCAAACAACCAAATATTGTGTTTTCACCCATGAGCAGGATATCAAGTTTCCAAGCCAGAGGTGATCTTCAAATTGGAGCAAGGAGAAGAGCCTTGGCTATCAGAGGGAGAAATCCAAAGATCTTTCTGTCCAGGTAAATGAGCGAGGATCAAGAATGTAGTGGTTGAATCAGTGCAGACAGTGGCACAGCTGAGGGAGGGGGAAGCACCTTCAGATTACTGTCCTGGGAGCTCATAGACTGGCCGAGGAGGCTAAGCCATCTCCTGGATGACACCTCTGTATATCTCCCTTCTCCAACAGGGTGCCCCTGCTGCTGGTAGGTCTTAGAGGAAAAGATGCCACTTTGTTCTACGCTCAGTATACCATCTCTCCCTAACCTTTAACCCTACTTGCTGGATTATTTTCTCCTCTGGTGTCCTCAGTCTTCCATCATTATTTAGAGATCCCTTTTCTTACTCATTCAGACATAACTGAACTTCCATGTCTCCTTCTTATTTGTCTTACTGTTTTCACTGTCAGCTGCCCCAAACTTATAGGAAATAGCCACAACCTTGATTCTTTTTCCCTTCATAACTTGTTTTTAGACTTCTTGCCCTGACTACACCTGTTGACGGAGCAACATGGTCTTCCGTCCATTCTGTGTTCATGCTGATTTGATTCATTTGCCTCCCTCCACAGTTCCTGGAGTATCATTCTGTCCTGGTCTCCCCATTTGTTAAGTGGTTCTTGACTTTAGATCTTTGGCTTTTCTTGCTTTTTCCCCTAAGCAAATCTGCCTTAAGGAGTCTGCTCTCAGCCTCCTCCCCTTCTTTCCCTATTATAAAAAGGGTGCCTCCTAAAAGGATGCCTGCCTTCTGGTAGTTGCAGCTCTTTATTTATGCTATAGACTCAGAAATCATCCTTACTTGTGCCCTGGTTACTTTTTTCTTTTCACAGGACATCTCCACCTGGAAGTCCCACACAGTTTTGATTAAAGATGTAAAATCTAAATTAATCACCTTTCATCCCTAGCCAGCATATTTTGCTACCTTGCCCATCACCCCTTTCTCCTCTTGCCTGTTAGAAACCTGTTAAGATTTCTAATTTCTCAGACCAGACACCATAGTCAGTTTAGTCTTTGTCTTTCAACCCAGGTTATTTTTCCTGCTTTAAGAAGTATCTTAGATTTTCCTGCATTTTAACTTCCACTGGTGACATCTTAAACCAAGCCCTAGGCTTAGATTACTATAATTCCCAGTTGAAATTCCTCCCTGTATCATTTTTTATAATCCATATTGGATCTTTAAAATCATAGCTTTATTGAGATATAATTCACAAAACATGAAATTCACCCTTTAAAAGTGTACAGATCAATGGTTTTTGGATATTTGTAGAGTTGTGCAACTATCACCACTGTCTAATTACAGAACATGTTCAACACCCGAAAAAGAAACCCTATGCTCATTAGCAGTCACTTTCTATTCCCCATTACCCCCATCTCCTGACAACCATTAATCTACTTTTTCTCTCTATGGATTTGTCTATTCTGGATATTTTCTATAAATGGAATCATACAATATATAGCCCTTTGTGACTGACTTCATTCACTTAGCACAACGTTTTCAAGGTTCATATTGTAGCATATATTATTTCATTTCTTGGTATTCATTCCTTTGTATTTATTTCATTGTATGCATATACCACATTTTGTTTATCTACTCATCATGTGATAGACCATTTGGATTTTAATGATTTATCTTCATAAACTAATCATCTCTGAGAAAACCTTGCTGTTATTCCCTGTACCTCATTATAGGAAACAAACTCCCTTGATTTATTTTTTATTTTTATTTTTTAAATATGTCTTTATTGATTTCAGAGAGAGGAAGGGAGAGGGAAAGAGAGATAGAAACATCAGTGATGAGAGAGTCATTCACCCGCTGCCTCCTGCATGCCCCCTAGGGAGGATCAAGCCCACAACTCGGGCATGTGCCCTGATCGGGAATCAAACCGATATCTCCTGGATCATAGGGTGATGCTCAACCGCTGAGACACACGGGCCAGGCATCCCTTGATTTAAATATCTGCATCATACCTTCTAGTATTATCTTTCTATTACTGCTAAAACAATCTTCATTTAGGTTGAACTTTTTTTTTAAGTGTATCTTTATTGATTTCAGAGAGGAAGGGAGAGAGAGAGATAAAAACATCAATGATGATGAGAGAGTTGTCATTCATCGGCTGTCTCCTGCACACTCCTGACTGGGGATCAAGCCTACAACCTGGGCATGTGATCTGACCAGGAATTGAACTGCGATCTCCTGGATCCTAGGTCAATGCTCAACCACTGAGCTACCCCTGGCTGGGCTGAACTTTTTTTTTTTTTTTAATCTTTATTGATTTCAGAGAGAGAAAAGGAGAGGGAGAGAGATAGAAACATCAATGATGAGAGAGTCACCGATCGGCTGCCTCCTGCATGCCCCCGACTGGGGACCGAGCCCGCAACCCGAGCATGTACCCTGACCAGGAATTGAAACCGGATCACCTGGATCCTAGGTCGACTCTCAACTGCTGAGCCACGCCCAGCCGGGCTGAACTTCTTTTTAATGTTCTTTTTAAGTAGCATATACTTTCCCTCATTAGATAATGCTTTCTACCTATCCAAAGCCATCTATTCTTTAAGTTCAAGGTCTAAGTCATGAAACCTAATATGTACTGATATATTTACTTCTTCCTTTCTTGATCACAAATACCATTTTTATCTATTATACAAATTCATATTTAATAATATACCATCTGATGATTTTTTTCTTTCTTAGTTGTCAGAAGATTGAGTCTTGTTTCTGTTCATAGATTTCAGGCTCCTAGAGAATCTGTTTTATTTCTATATATTCTATCTGTGGTGCAAAGCATGTAGAAGGCAGTTAGAAATTACTTCATTGATTGTTATGGAATCTGGCTTGGGAGAGAACTTTATTATTCATTTATTTCAACAAACATTTCTTGAATGTCCCACTGAGAAGAATTCTAAAAGAAATACAAAGCATTCCCTTTCTCAGGAATTTAGAATTGAGTCTTGTTACGGGGTAAGGAATTTTGAGGTTTAGGGCCCCTTAGTTGCTGTTATTCCCTCCTAACATTTTATTATGAAAAATTTCAAATATATGAGAAGTTGAAAAAATTATGCAGTGAACACCACATACCTACCACGAAAATTCTATAGCTAACATTTATTATAGTTGCTTTATCACATACTTCTCCATCTATCCATCTGCTATTTTATCTTTTTGATTCATTTCCAAGTAAGTTGCAGAATGAATACATTTAACCCTACATTTTTCCATATGCATATCGTTAACTAGAGCTCAATATTTGTTAATGGGTTTTAGATATGAGTTTATTAGGCAGATTAAAATAAATCCTTTTTGTTTAAGAGAGGTGACTAGTGTAGAACCAGAACTCAAATAGGCTAAAACCACAGCCGTAGTTGTAAGGGCAAGGATGATTTGCCTCCTGGAATTTTTTTCTCAGCTTGTGACATCTAGCCCTTGATCTCCAAGTATATCAAAGAATCATTTCTGTTAGATCACTGGCTGCAGATTTTTCTCTGCAGGGTTTGAATATCTAGAGCCTCAGAGGTGACATTTAAAGAAGTTATAAAATAGATATATTAGGAAGATAGATTCTGTGGTGGTTTGTAAAATGGACAGGAGTTGTAGAGAGTAGATAGCATCCTGCAAGATGGACTATGATCCTATTTCCTTTGTATCTAGGCCTAACACTCTCTTCGTCACTTATTTCTTTACTCCCTAACCACCCGTTCTAGATGGGCTTCCTCGTTCTGGACTTACCATTCACTCTAGATCAGCAGTCTGTACTGTCACATCTCTTCAATCTTCCTTCCTTCCATTTTGGGTATTCTCCCCAAGCTACAGGGCTAATTTCAAAACAAGGTCATGTATAATTTGAATCTCTCTCATTTCCTGATTTCTACTGTAGCAGTTTGTTTCAACAGGAGGGAATAGGAGACTTTTGCACTTTGGATTTCTTTCAGACTGGAAGACCAGGCCTGAAGCCAAATCATCAAATCTGCAGCATAGCATATCTGAAGTATCCCTTCACACAGATGATCTTTCACATGCCACATTAGAAGATGTTTGGGATGTGAGTAATCAATTAGAGAGGCACCAGGAAAACTGGAAGAGGTATCTGAAGCCAGATGTATCCACCCAGAAGAAAATAGTCACACCAGAGGAAACTTTTGAGCATAATAAATTTGGTGAAAACTCCAGATTGAACACAGACTTGGTTACACAACTGAACATTCCTTCAAGGTCTAGTGAATGTGATACACTTGGAATCAATTTGGGACATAATTCAGACTTACTTAATCAGAATAATATCCTTGCAAAAAAGAAACCTTATAAATGTAATAAATGTAGAAAAGCTTTTATTCATAGATCATCACTTACTAAACATGAGAAAACTCATAAAGGAGAGGGAGCATTTTCCAATGGTACAGATCAGGGAATTTATGCTGGAAAGAAACACCATGAATGTACTGACTGTGGAAAAACCTTCCTCTGGAAGACACAGCTTACTGAGCATCAGAGAATTCACACAGGAGAGAAACCCTTTGAATGTAATGTGTGTGGGAAGGCCTTCAGGCATAGCTCATCCCTCGGTCAGCACGAAAATGCGCATACTGGAGAGAAACCCTATCAGTGTAGTCTCTGTGGGAAAGCTTTCCAGCGCAGCTCCTCCCTTGTTCAACACCAGAGAATTCACACTGGAGAGAAACCCTATCGATGTAACTTATGTGGAAGGTCTTTTAGACATGGCACATCCCTCACTCAACATGAGGTCACACATAGTGGAGAGAAACCCTTTCAATGTAAGGAATGTGGGAAAGCCTTTAGTCGATGTTCTTCCCTTGTGCAGCATGAGAGGACTCATACAGGAGAAAAACCTTTTGAATGTAGCATCTGTGGGAGGGCTTTTGGTCAGAGCCCATCCCTTTATAAACATATGAGGATTCATAAGAGAGGGAAACCTTACCAAAGCAATAACTATAGCCTAGATTTCAAGCACAACTCATCTGTTACTCAAGATGAAAGCACTCTGACTGAAGTGAAATCCTATCATTGTAATGACTGTGGGGAAGACTTCAGTCACTTTACAGACTTTACTGACCATCAGAGGATCCATACTGGAGGGAACCCCTATGATTGTGAGCAGACCTTCAGTCAACAACCTATTTCTCATCCTGGAGAGAAACCTTATCAGTGTAATGTATGTGGAAAAGCTTTCAAAAGGAGTACAAGTTTCATCGAGCATCATAGAATTCATACAGGAGAAAAACCCTATGAATGTAATGAATGTGGAGAAGCCTTCAGTCGACGCTCATCACTTACTCAGCATGAGCGAACCCACACAGGAGAGAAACCCTATGAATGTATTGACTGTGGGAAAGCCTTCAGTCAGAGTTCATCCCTCATTCAGCATGAGAGAACTCATACTGGAGAAAAACCCTATGAATGTAATGAATGTGGGCGAGCCTTCCGAAAGAAAACCAATCTGCATGATCATCAGAGAATTCATACTGGAGAAAAACCTTATGCTTGTAAGGAATGTGGGAAAAACTTCAGTCGAAGCTCAGCTCTCACTAAACACCAGAGAATTCATTTGAGAAACAAACTCTAGGAATCCTAGAATTAAAGAATGCAGAAAGCTTTAGCTAAAATATTATTCTTATTCCATATCAAAGGATTCTTACTGGAGAGAAAGCTTCAGAATGTAATGAATTATGTGTACTTGTATGTTGTGTGCAGAGAAAACTGCTAGTAGACAAATTTTTTTCAATAAATAAAAGCCACATTCTCAGATCTGATTACAAACTTTTGTAAAAACAACTACAAACGTAATATATAACCTGTTGGAAATTATATGGCTATATATTGGACTTTATAAAGCTTTTTAACATACATATGCAGGAGATTACCAACATTCAACAATTTGACTTATAACTTGTTTACAGCCTTTTTTTATAGATAAAATTCCTGCAGTAATGACCAAAACTCATTTTTAAAATATCTTGACAACTACATTCAATTGCAGCTCTTCTATTAAATTCACCATGGAAACTAATTCCTCCTCCAGAAATTCACCATTCAAAGAATTAGTTCAACTGGTCCAACCACTTCATTGTACAGATGAAGAAACTGAAAACCAAAGATGTGAAGTGATTTGCACTGTGATACAGCTTATAATGGCAAAGCTGGGTGGAGGATGCAGGTCTGGATCTTTGTCCCCAGGGTCTTGATACTGAAAAGGTATTTTGGAATTCAGAGGGCTTTTAAATAAATTTTAAATCAGATGCACAAACATTTAATGAGCACTTATGTATTGGATACATTGGGAATTCATAAAGGCATAAGAGGCAACAAGATATATTTAGGGTTGTCATAAACTTATTTAAAGCAACTTGTTGGAAGCTTATAAACCAAAATGTTAACAGAAACTATAAATGGTTGAACTACTGGTGACTTCCATTTCCCAAGTATCATAATTATACTTTCAGCTAACATGTGCCAGTTTTGTAGAACTGTTAAGTCCTCTGTGCTGCCCAAGCTTCCTATATTCGTCAATGGGAAAACAACACAAAACTAAGAAGAATTTGCCCCCAAAATAATTTTACTACAGAGAAGAATAAATCCAATTACCTCTTGCCATAAAGTTTGTCTTTAAATTAGCATGTGTATCAAGAAAATATTTCACCATAAAATATTAACTTTTTAAAGTTCTGTGGTGCTTTTCCATCAGTAAAGCCTGAGAGCTAAGGCCACTCAAATCCTTAATGTCCCCTAATGGAATTTCATAGACTATCCTAAAAGAATTTCAAGAATCTTTGTTGGTTCATTGGCACCAACAGTGCAGATAAATTTAGAAGCAACTGTGGACATTGACCCCTTTCATACAAGAGCATCTCCCCTCTAAGATAAGCATATTTTCCCACCTTGATGAATCATTGGGAGGAGTGATATGAGTGGTGTTGATGGTGAACCTTTCCTACTGGCTTTCTTGCATGCCAGTTAGCCAGGTCCATCATCCTTGTCTCATCTGCGACAACATGAGCCAGCTCCCAAACATTCTTCATAATTCTTTACAGGAAAATGTGCCTGGGGGCTGAAATATGGGATTTCTAGCCCATTGTCTATCGCATGTGGAGCAAGATGGGATACACCCTAGCAGATCTGCCCTTCCATGATATTAACTATTCAAAACATGCCGTGTTTATGATCTTCCATGCTTAGCGCACAATGCCAAGGCCATACTTGTGTTTCTGATACATAGTTTGACAATGGGTGATTATACTCAAACCCTCTCCTATCAATTGGCCAAGATACCTATCAGAAACTCATTTTGCTACTGATCGGGGATACCCATAGTGGATTATTTGTAAGAATGACTTGAGTTGTAACCAGTTGAGTGCTGCCCTACTGTTTTAGAACTTTATAAAGACTTAGTTCTAAAAGACCCAAAGGAGACCACTGGTTTGTGTGTGGATCCTGGCCTAGATCCAGCCAATCTATGATTCTCAGCACATCTTCATTGACAGGGAGGGAGCCCAGGATATATGTATGGCAGCTAACTGAGCAGAGGATTCCGTAGTCCCAGCATCCATGCACCATGCACTTATGAACACCTAGCTTTCTAGGCCACATGAAATGCATCCTTGTAACATCATTGTATTATTTCAATAAATAGCCTTTATAGTTGAATGGGAGTGTGTCTATTTTAATTTTCAGAACTTGGCTAAGATTAAAGAGTGGCATATCAAGGAGGAGGGATTAACTGCTAAACTCGTCACGGCCAGGTGAGTTAATAACAACTACTGTTTATTGAATGCTTCCTACTTGAAAGACATTGTACTAAGTATTTTATAGCCATCATTTTGGTTAATTCTTACAATTCCCCATTCTAGGTCTTGTGGTAACTTATCTTTGCCCAGCTTTTTCCTTCTCTTATAACAACCCCTGCTGTACTTACCACAGGAATACAAGTCACGACATCCCTGGGGCTCAGTGATAGTTTTAGGGGAAAGCATGTGACCTAGTTGAGCCAATATAAGAGTCCTTTGCCAGGATTTTTTCAAAATAGAGTTAGGAGGGAAACTTTAATTTGGGGTTGCTAGGCCGGAAAGGTGCAGGCTTAGAGCTGCCCAGAGCCTGATTCCTTACCAGAGAGGGGAGGTCTCTTGTAAGAGGGTGCCACTGACATGATGGTGTTCTCATTTCTAATCCCTGAGGTCCATGGACTGGGCTTGATTTCTGAAGCCCTTTCTGGGATTCAGTGTGCTCCCCACTATCAGTGCAGTGATTCCCCCTTGTTGACTAAGCTAATATGTCAGATTTCTTTTTCTTGCATTAAAGAAACCTAATACGTGTATTATATCCTTGTTTAATAATGGGGGGTGGGACCCAGAGAGGTAAAGTAGCTTGCCCCAGGTAGTACTGCCCATGGCAGATTTAGGATTCTGGCTCCAGACTGACTGTAAAGGTATAACCCTTAACTACTAACTGATGTCTCCAGGGCCATGTTGTGTTCAAAGAACTGCATATGACACAGCCTCGTTTGGGGGTGAGTGGATGAAGGGATATGGTGATAGGTCAGAAACCAAGTGGAGACAACATGACAAAAGGCCTTGGAATGTTTTTCTTGACTCAGTAAGTTAAATCCCCTAAATTCACTCACAATCCTCATACCCTAATGTGTCATTATTTATATGAGTGCATACTATAGATAAAATTTTGTATCATTCTTTGAAAAGAACTTTATATTTTCCATGGTGCTACATAGTCTCATAATCTTAGCAAGTCTCCTACTGTTAAGATATTTTTATAATAAAATTGAGCACTTATCTTTTTAAGCCCTCCCACCTTTTTTTCTACAGAATCTTTTTCTTAACATAGCCAGAATGAGATAAAATATCCAAAATGGGATTACTAGGTCAGCATGTAAAGGTTAGTATAACCAGATAGGGTGAGACTTATACGAGAATAAACTAGATATGATAACCCAGGAGTAATTGTCTCAAAATTGCAAAAGGGATCCTAGAGAAAACCAGCCTTTCCACTCCTGGGGAAAGCCCCAGGGCAGGCCTTCTGTTCCCCAGAGCATCTAGAACACCTCTGCCCACATGGAAAGATAAAACACTTCTCCAGTTTGTAAGCATATTGGTGATAGTTATGCTCAGTTCTTTATAGCTGCTAATCTAGTTAATTCTTACTCATCTGTTAAAAATGCAAATGTTACTGCCCTAATTCAACTAAATTGGTCTCACTTAAGTTCTCAAAGGTAATTGTTAATGTCCTTCATGTTACCACAGTTTGTAATTATTTGGTGTTGTCTCCTACCCCACACTAGATTATGAGTTTCAGGAGAGCTGGGTCCACATCTATTTTGCTAACTTTTTGTTTCCCTACTTACTACAGTGCTGGGGACATACTAGGTATTTAATATAGTCTTGTTAAGTGAGCAATGAAGTGGAGATTTGTTGATAGACAATGAAGACTGGCATATAAATGAAAAGATGCTTAATCTCAAAATCAGAATATGGCAAAAGAAAGCAGTGAGATACTATTTCTGGCAAAAATTTAGGAGTCTGGCAGGAGGAAAATGAAAGCTTTTATGTACTGGTGGGAAGCTAAATTGGTATAATTATTTTGAGAATAACTTGGCAATTTCCAGTAAAGTTGAAGCTAAGCATACCTCATGACCCAGCATATATACCCTAGACAGTACATCCTAGACTAGAAATTCTCCTGTGTGAGCACAAAGATGCACAAGGACGCTCATTACAGTAATGTTTGAAATAGTAAAAACATGACACAACACAAGTGCCTGTCAGTAAGTGCATTGGTTAATAAGTTGTGACATATTTTTACTTAATACAACACAGTAATTAAGTGTAAGGACCAGAGTATCAGGCAAAACAAAACATTCTGTCTCAGCCTCTTCTCCTCTGCCCATGCAGCTAAATGTAGCTGGAGAAAAACAGAGCCACAGTTATGAGTCCCACTTTAAATTCCTGACTGCTGACCTCAAGCACTTGTTCCCTAGTCCAGTCATTGTCCCAGTCTCCTAAGATACTATTATAGCTTCTCTCTTCTCAACCTCCAGTGCTCACACCAGTCCTCATTCAGCTGGTGACTCTTTCCTAGTTAACAGAAAGAAAGAAAAGCAATCAAACGACAACTACTCATCTATATGCTTCTTGTCCATGAATTCTTCCTGTTACTGTGGTTGACTGTTCTCTTATCAAAGACCAACTTCTCTGGTGTATCCTTAAACTGGGACATTGTTCCACGGTTGTCCTCTTTCCTGCATCTCTTTTTTCCTTGTCTACTTAATGTTTCCCATGAGCACAATAACATGTAAATGTTCTCATGTATATTTCTAAATATACTGTACCCTCCCCTCCACCTGCCACTCCATTTATCTCCAGCCCAGGATTTCATACTCATAACCAACCGTCTACATGACATCTCTACTTGGATGTCTGTAAGACAACACATTTAATGTGTCCAAAGATAAACTAACTCATGTTGTCTTCCCAGCCCTATTGTAAACATGTTCCTCCCTCAGTCTTCCTGTCTGGGAAAAGGCAACCCTTTCTTCCAGTTGCTCAGGCCCCAAACTAGGGAACCATTCTTGATTCCTTTCTTAAACCCGCATACAAGCTTCAATAAGTCCTGTCTGCTAACTTGCAGGATATATGATGATGGCCATTTCTTGTTGCCTCCACACCCTAGCCCAAGTCACCATCATCATCCCAGATATTTGCAAGAGCCTCCTAATTGGCTTTCCTGTTTCCATTCTTTTGTCTTTTTAAAAAAATATATCTTTATTGATTTCAGAAAGAGGATGGGAGAGGGAGAGGGAGAGATAGAAACATCAATGATGAGAGAGCCATTATCGATCAGCTGCCTCTTGCACAGCCCTCACTGGGGATCAGGCTGCCACCTGAGCATGTGCCTGGACCCAGAATCAAACCGCAATCTCCTGGATCCTAAGCTGACTCACAACCACTGAGCCACACCTGGCTGGGCCCTGCTTCCATTCTTGTCTCTATATTTGCAGTTCAGCAGCCAGAGTGACACTAAAAATCTAAGACCATGTCACTCATGCTCAAAGCCCTCTGATAGCTCTCCATTTCACTGGATAAAAGTTACACCAAAAGCCCTACATAGTATTGCTACCACCTGCCATCTGGTATTATCTGTCTGACTTGCCATTTGTCTTCCTTCTTGATCACTCTGCACTAGGCCCTGGCCTCCCTGCAGTAACATGAATCACATATGGCAAGCTTCCACGTCAGAGCCCCTACATTTGCTATTCCCTCTTCCTAGAACCAATTTTCCCTCACCTTCAGATCTTTGCTTTAGATTTCCTACAGAGAACTCTTCCTCGACTACCCTATCAAAATAGCAGTCCTCCTCTGTGGCACATTCCATCTCCCTTCCCAACCTCATTTTTTTTTTTTTTTCCATAGTACCTACCACCACCCGACATTCTAAATATTTTATTTGTTTTATTATATGTCCTATTCTGGAAAGTAAGCTCCATGAGAGTAGAGATTGAGGGTGGGGGTACATGTTATTGAAGCATAACATGCATAAAGAAAAATACAAAATAGCAAGTGAACAGCTTTATGATTAAGGGTGGCTACTTCTGTATTTTTTGTTTAATGCCCTGTCCCCAGCACAGAATTTCAAATATTTGACAAATGGTTGGACTGAATGTACATGTATTAACATGCCTAACATATTGAAAACAATTGAAAATGAAGTTGCAGAGGGATGCATATAGTGTGATATGTTACAACCAAAAATCCATAATACCTTTTTATTTTTATCAACTTGTGAAGTTAAAGTAGGAAGGTACTAAAATATCAGCTTCAGAGTGGTGATTTCCTCTGAAACTAATGGGGAGGGGTAAGAAGGAATAAAAGGCCTAAACTCATATTTGATATCTTTAAAAAGATGTGGCAAGATATTTACACTTGTTAAAAGAGTGTGATGCATAGGTATTTATTGTATGCACTTCTCTGAACATTTAATCTAACAGTTAAAGTCGCCTCCTTGCTCTTATCTGGTCTCTCCCGTAAAGCCACTGCTTGGTTCCTCTCAGGGTGTGAGCCTGTTTGGCCTGTACATCTAGTGTGCCTGAAGGATTGGGAGAAGGAAAAATAGGCACTCATGCTCCCAAGGGTTAGAAGCTGATCCAAGCCCAAGAAAGAAGAGAGAGGTCTTGGTACTGTCAAGATCAAGCAGATCATTCTTACTCTACAAATGCCATTTGAGGGACCAATTTAAAAGAAGGAAAGAGCAGGGGAGCAAAGGGCTTCCTGTAGATAAAAACATAAGTAAGTGATTATTTACAGGAGTTAGTGGAAGGAGAGAATTAATTTTAGCTAATAATATCAGTGAAAGCCCTGTAATTTTAGAAAAACACTTTTTTGGGCAAACACATTTTAATGGATAAAGGAACCTAGAAATTTTCACCTAAAGTGTAGATGATATTTATCATGCTATGACCAGATAAGTATTAGATGTAATAACTAATGGGGTTTTGTTTTACTATATGCATTAAGAAACTAGCAATTACCAATTGTTCTTGAATTTTAATGCTCACTTTTGAAAGTTAACAGTTGTCACAGAATTTTGGCTTGGAGTTGCTGATAAAGCCCCAAAGGTGAAAACAAAATGCCATGTTACCC